AATGCTGTGTTTTTGACCCGTGCGATGGGTTTTAACTCTTTAAATCATTTGTCTTTCCCACTACGGATTGGAAGCTCATAATTGGATTTTTTTCTGGAAATGATTTACATATTTTGAATGTCTTGCCAAAAAGCACTAATGTTGTGTTTTTAGTTTTGATGTATGACCGTTTTAATCATTCCCTAGCTAATCCCCTATTGTTTATAAATATAAAATACGAGCTTCTTTTTTCCCTTTTTCTTGGACCTGTTGTGGAAATACACAAGAGCCGAACACTTTGTCGCATCTCTTTAACACAAATACAGTAACGATCATAGTTTAGGTTTTGCATTAGGTATGGTAGCTCTCGATTGCCAGATGATTGGAGCACAAGTAGGTGCTGAATTGGAAAACGATTATCTACAGGTCTTACTCTCCCTACATTTTTCCCTTTTATTTAATACTACCTCCGTTTCTCAAAAGAGTTCCTCTTTTGACTTTGGGGGAAAATAAGAAAGTGTTAAATTGTAGTTGACTTTCCAATTTTGCCCTTGATGTGATAGGTAAATGTAAGATGTGATAGTTTAGTTGTTAGTGAAAAAGTATGATGTGATAGGTAGGGTATGAAAAAGTAGGGGTAAAAGTGGTTTTTTAATAGAAAGGGGAAGTGTTTTAAGAAAAACAAAAAAAAATGAAAGAGGAAGGGTTTTAAGAAACGGAAGGAGTATTATATCTTTAACTTTATTCTGTATTTGAGATTGAATATTGATGAATTTCCTATATCTACAACACTTAATGCGTGTTACTGTATACATTGGTATGTACATTATTATTTTGTGTTAGAATGAGACTAAGAGTAACATTTAATCTCAAAACTGACCATGTTTGCCTGTCTTGTGCCGTTGATGGCAGCAACTTATGTTCCAACATTAGAATAACTATTGGATCACGGGTAATACCAACATAAAGCATTTTGTGGAGGATCCACAAATAATGTTGATTGGCAGAGGATTTATGGTTGGACTGGTTTGTGGAGATTGATAATTTTGAATTCCTTATTTTTAGAGTCAATAAAACTGTTTTGGAATGTTTCAGATTCTTAAGTAGAAGGTTGAGGCTCATAGCTGCCCTTTCATTTAACACATCATCATTGGCAGTTAGAGATTATGAAAATACAAAAACACAGATTGAAAAGTAGAAGGAACTTTTAGAGTCAACAGTTAGACGTGTATGGTGATCTAGAATCGTAGCCAATGCTTGGACCGGTGTATGAGATTTATAATCAGGATTACCATGAGAGATAGAAAAACACTTTCTTTTTCATTGGAAATTTTCATATCTAGCATTATGCTAATAATTTTCTAACTGAGACATTCATTATGGCTACTTTTTTTTGCATGGGAAATATTCTATCTAGCATTATACTAATAATTTTCTAATTTGTAATTGATACATTGATTATGGTTACTTTCTTTTACTTCTTTATTTTCAGTTTTGTGTTTGTTATTCATGAAGTGATCAAATTTTTATAATTATTTAATCTCCATATATTATTATTGTTATCACCATTGCATGTTAGATTTGATATTCTCTCCAACGCGGCTTAGATACGGTTGAATAATTAATTTCTTACTTTCTTTGAGTTTAACACTAAATTTAATTATACAAAGTGTCTCACTGAACTACTAAAGTCCTTTTCCCTTTTCACATAAAAAGGGAAAAGGAAAAAATGATCCTTTTAAGGCTTTAGCACTAAATCTTGATGTATCTAATAGTAGTTGTTGTATTGAGATTAAAAACAATTGATGCAATCTTCAATAAATTTCAGGATGCAAGCCTTGCAATTTTGTTGTTCTCTCCCTTGTCCCTTGGTCATTCATGACATTGTTAAGCAATGTTATAGGAATTGCCCCCTATTTTTAAAAACCGTTTAAAAGTTTAACCAAACACGTGGTGACAAAATATATTATTTTATCATATAGACCAAGAAAAAATGTAAGTAAATAAAAGTTTTTGTGAAGTTAGAATAAAACTCTGTGAAGAAAGATAAGGGGCAAAGCGAGTACGTAATACTCCCTCCGTTTGGAAAAAGTGTTCCTATTTTGACTTTGTGTAAAAATAAGGAAGTATTAAATTATAGTTGACTTCCAATTTTGCCCTTGATGTGATAGGTAAAAGTAAGATGTGATGGATAGATTATTAGAGATAAAGTATGATGTGATAGGTAGGGTATGAAAAAGTAAGGGTAAAAGTGGTTTTTTAATAGAAAGTGGAAGTGTTTTGTTGGGAATGAAAAAATGAAAGAGGAAGTGTTTTAAAAAACGGAGGGAGTATATTCTCGAAAAGATTTCAAGATTCTGATACAATTAGTAAATAACAGTAATTTCAAAGATTTAAAAAGATACTTTTAAATTTTAGGTTTAAGTTAATTTATTTAGTTATTCACCATAAAAATGTCCAATACAATTCGTTATATATATAAAATATTTTAACCCATTCTAACATTGCATGTACGTTGATCTGATTCAATTCATTAAAATTTGTTACTTCCATAATATTTTTCTGACTTGATCTTCACATTCTATACTACTAACAAAAAATAATACTTAGTACATATATTTACACTTTCGAACTCTATCACTGTTTTATCCCAAAAATTCGGGATATATTTTATATATTGCCCTAAAATTTATAAGATTATTTTCCCGTGCATCGCACGGGTGGAGTACTAGTTAATTATAAGAATTATTGTTAGTTGTGGATTAAAAATTCAAATATTAATTTTTTTATAATAATTAATTATTTTTTATGTTTTGAATGTTTATTAAAATTAATTATTTTTTATGTTTTGAATGTTCATAACAATTAATTATTTTTTACTATGTGTTAAATAATATTTTGATTTATTTTAATCTTTTTTATTTTAAATGGTTTTTATAATAATTGAAACTTGTGTATGTGATTTTTAATGTATTTTATAATCTTTATAGTTATTACTCCCTTCGTTGCATATTTATTTTTTTCAAATATGACTTTGGTGGTCAATTTTTTTTGTACTTTCACAATAGATAAGAAATACATTGAAGTGTGATTAAAAACGAATACCAATAGATTCATTTTGAAAAATAGTTTTTACTAATAAAATAGAGAGATATTAATAATTAAAATGTAGAATTGGAAACCGTGAAAAGTCACATTAAAAGAAAGATATGAGACAGAGAGAAGTACTACTCCCTCCGTCTCTAAATGTTTATCACATTTCAAAAAAAGAGGCAAAATATCAAGTTTTTTCAATTCATTTTATTTAAATATTGGTATAAAAATAAAAAATAAATTTACATTTTTAAAACTACATGAAAATTCTTCGAAATAAGAGATGTCAAAAATATTTTATTTTATCAAATAATCAATGGAAACGTATAAAAACACAAAAGTTCCAGTAACTGTTGAAAACGCAAATAAGGCAAACATTTTGGGCGGAGGGGGTATTTTTTTCATGGTCAATTGGTTAACCGATGAATCGTGTCAAGACTCCAATGAACCAAAATTTTGGTACAATCAGCGGCTATAAAATACATTCTCTCCGTCTCAGTGTGTTTGTTCAGTTTAACTTTGCAGTCAAACATGATACTTTAATCTTCAATTAAATAAATATTACAAAGTACATTGTATATTACACTATTAAAATATAATATGTTTTTTAACTCCAAGATAAATATAATTAAATAAAATTTACCGATACATTATTAAGTACTCTCTCTGTCTAAGAACAATAAACACAAATGGAAAACACAAAGATTAAGATAAATTTGATATGATATGGTCAAAGTAGATGAAAAAGTATAAAAATAATTGAAAAATGTAGAATAAGTGGTTGAAAATAAGAGAGAATGTAAAAGTCATGGAAAAGATAGAAAAGTTGTTGAAAAGTAGGAATTCTTAAAGCCAAATAAGTGTGCCTTTTGTTTTAGGATGCCCGGTTTGAAAATTGTGCCTTTTGTTCTAAGAGAAAAGGAATAATTCAATATTTTTATTTGATGATCAAAGTTCATCCAATTTAGCTGCAAAAAATTAAACTAGACAAGTACACGGAAGTAATGCTAATAACTTTGGTTAACCGACCATGCCCACCCCTAACGAAAGAAACTTGATATGTGACAAACCATACTCACACCTATTCAGGTGACCAAAGAGGGCCTATGAATATTTTTACATTGCAGATGATGTATAGTAAAAAGACACTTAAGACAAACAGCAAAATGTTTAGACTACAACAAGGTAAGCATTCAAAAATATCCATAGGATGACACGAAAATACACACATAACGACCAAAAAATGAAATTAAAAAAAAACATTTACAGATAGTTTTGAATGACTGTGAATGCACTTTTGGTGATATGAGGAATGGTGGAGATGATGGGGCATAAGAGAGATGTAAGTGTCACTTTCCACAGTTGAAGCCATGACAAACAGAAAGCACGATGATTAAGATCAATGCGATGATGATTCCCAGCACTATCAGTTTAACTTTCATGTTTTGCAGCCACATCTTTCTCCGCAGTTGTGTGCCTGTGCTTCTGAAATCCTGTGCCTGTTCGAAATGAAGAAGCCTATGAAATCCAAAACGCCGAGTGCTATTATGTTCGGCAATAGGTTTAGTTTAGCATTTCTAAAATTTATCCAACAATCTCGGAGACGAGCCAAAATGTAATCCTTTAAGAGTTTAAACTTTAACGTAAACCCTTCACAAGGGCAGTTTTCTGAAGAAAGATTTAAGTATTTGGATAACTTCTTAGTGGAGTAGACAAGGTTTATGACAAGTTGGGGGAAACAAAAGCAGTATACAGGAAATGCAGCTGGAACATGTCATCCTACTATTTATTGTTCATACAATAATACTTTAGGGCTGTCTACTCCAAAGCTGAAATATGTTTCAGAAGTAATTCTGGCACCACAAAGCTGAGATAGATTTGACATTGGACTGATATTCATAGAACATAGTTATACTCCAAAAACATAAGCTTATGCACCCAAAATAAACGCTTATGCAGTATGCACACAACTAAATGTCATGCACACAAAAGGAAGCACAAAAAAGGAAAAACAAAAATTAATCCCAGAGAGTGACCCGGCGAGTGGAAAGAGTATCATAAAACAGACCTGATCACGAAGATTCTCTGTCTTATCCACAAGAAGCTCTATCTTTTCGCCGCGGTCTAGTACCTAAAACATAGAAGAAACATATTGCCTCTCATGTCCTTAAACACAAAATATTGCACCATCAGTGAACAAATTACTAATGGTAGAGCAGTTGTCTTTCCATCATCGTCATGATTGTCAAAAATTAAAACCGAATTCATGCAGAAAAGTATAATGAAAGGTGCTACAGCTTTAGGGCCAAATGGTTTGCAAGTTCTAACAGTTAACAAGAAACTTAATCTCTGCATTGAATGATTTGAAACTAGAAATGAAAGGCAATGGCTCTTAAATTTTATAACAACAGTAAGCTGGAATTGTCTAACCGCATGTATACTTAAGAATATACTTTAGCAAGTCGAGCTGACGTAATTGATTACAAGAAAGTGACTCTGCAAAACGTTGAATCAACACAGTAGAAGGCACTGCCAACATGGGTCTGGACGATGAATTTGGTTCTGGCAAAGCGGGAGGAAGCCACTCTGTTGGGCTTCGACTAGGAGTTCTCCTCGGCCATAGAGAACAAAGGGAAAACTTCTTTTCTTGCGGATTGTGAAACCCATATGGGGTTCCTTCTCATGTGGTCATACTGATTCCTATGTATACTCTTTTTCATTACCATTTTAGTAAGCCAAGTGGCAAGCTTCCAAATATTAATGTCAATGGTAACTATGAACCATAACAACCCACCTCTAATTAGAATTACTGATTAAAATGTGTTAACCCATTAACAAAGCTTTGAAACTCAATTAGAATACTGAAGTACTGAACGCCGAAAACACCCCTCACCTTTTCAGAAACCTAGCTCTTACGACCAAGCTATTAGGTTACATAGTATTACAAAGCATAGGTTTGAGCCATCTGTGTGACACTGAGACAGAGAGTCATTCAATTAAAACCCCAGACCTAACATCTGGTGATCTGCAGATTTGTCTTTGTGACAACTAAATCAAGAGATAAAATTTGACTAAATCAGGAGATATTAATAGTTTTCTGAAATACTTCCATTGATTAACAAGTCATCTGGTTGTTAATGCCTTTTCAAAGTTGTTCAATTACTAAAACTTAATGCTATTCATTTTTTAAAGATAAGGTCAGAAGTCGGTCATTAACAACCAAGAAAAACGAATTTCCCCACCTTCTCAATGTTCTCCATCATGACACCTTTGACTTCTGACACCTGAGCTTTCACCTTTGTGAGTTTGCTTAGCTCCTCTGGATGGTCAACACAATATTGCATATGATCCCTTAACCTAGGCCTGCAATATACAGTCTCAATGGTAAGAAGATGAAACATAAATCTTGAGGGAGCATTTTCCAAGTCAAAGTTAATACCCAAATTCCTTCTTGAGACTATTAGAAGGAGCAGCAGATGCCTTTTCCCCTCCATATTTTAATACAAAGTCGTCCTTGATGCGCTCTAAGCAGGCTATTGGAACCTGTCTTCCTGCTGATTCTTCGGCAACCACACAATAAGCTACAGAACCACAGAACAATAGCACAATGAGCTGTGTAATCAAAATCAAATCAAATTCATGGTTTTACTTCGTGGATTTAAGAAAAAAGTGTTAAAGAAAAGTAAGCATATGCACCAAATGTGGCGCAACCAGACTTCAATCCATCCATTTTGATATGAACGCACTGATCTCAATCAAACACATCCTCTAAATTGTCTCAAAATCTTAATATATGCAATTTGCAAACAGCAGATTTTGAAGAAAAGAATTCAGATGAGGGGGAGATCTGTAATCAAACAACTGCAATCACATCGAGCTTGTCGTTCACCTCATTGTCCAATTCTAGTTTTGTCACACGAATAACTTGCAAACAACGCAACACTGTAAAGATCCTCTCCTATACGAGAATTCCACAGAGGGATAAAGCTAATACTCGTATATAACTTCACTACTTCAGACAAAACCCGATCGCCTAACCGGGCATTCCATTTCACCTCGTTTAGCGAATCTAAGATGAACAAAACAACTAAACAGTATCTATCAATTTCCGGATAAATTCAAAAGGGGACGCTTACTGAAGCCTTTATCGACGAGGTAGTTAAAAGTGTGGCCATCGCAGTTGTAGGTGAACTTGCTGTTGGATGCTGGAAGCTTCTGCAAGCATTGGAAGGCTATGGAGTCGAAGTTCCCGTTGAAGTTGGTGTAATCCGCCAGTATGTCGGATCCACGGGCCACGAACGCGTAAATCATCGGTTTCCGTTGAGCCATTTTCCGGTCGGCTTCCGTCCTCCGGTTGCTTCGTGATCAAGCACACATTAAAACCGAAGATCGGAAGAAACGCTTTCCGCACTCCGACACATAGTCCATCCAGTCCCCCCTTCACAATTTAAGAGTCTTGGCCGGTCAGTTGCAATGCATAGGCGAGTAAGAGCAACTCCAATGGTATTGTATATTGTAAAAAATACATTATATACAAGACCCTATAGCAAAATTGGCACTCCAATGGGTAGGGCAAAATTAACACTATATTGTAAAAAGCAAGTCTCACCTTGTATTAATACACTACATGTTATTTCCATCTTGTAAATTTATTTTTTCTATATATTTATTAAAATACATTTATATTTCATGTTTCTTATAAAAATACTCAATATACGTATAGTTTGAAATGCATGTACCATAAAAATTTTAAAAATATAAATATTATTACAAATAAATATTTTAAAAATAATAATATACGGAGTATAAAAAAGTGTATTATTTAATAAGATATGATTGGAGTAGCTATGAAAAAATGGATTGCTAAAACACATTTGGTAGTGTAAAATACAATATACACTATCAAAATTTACAATACTCATTGGAGATGCTCTAAAGACGGAGGGAGTATGCTGTTGTAAACTCAGTCCTTTATTAATCGTGTATTTATACAAACATGGGAAGGTAAAGTCTAGGTAAATAAGATATTATAAATAATTAGAGTAATATAGATGTCAGATTTAACATTCCCCTTAAGATATATATCATCATTCATTACCACTAAAAATATTATGCTACTGGATAATATTGACTAGACTCTTCAGGATCTATATTAACTGATTCTACAAGATCAGCTATGTTGTCTCATTAAATGACTTACTAAGAAAATTCAGTGCGACAAAACCTAGTCAAGGGAAAAAGAGTACAACGTGTATAATGCTCCCCTCAAACTAATTTATCTCCTTTAGCGTGCAGAGTCCAATCTTCTTTATGAGTTGCTCAAAACTATGTCTAGGCAGA